TCTTGGCAACCCCACTTCCCATCCTGCTCCCTGCCTGTGGCCTGGGAAAGCATTTGAGGACAGCCCAAAGTTTTGGGACCCTGCACCTGTGTGGGATACTCAGAAGAAGTTCCTGGATCCTGGCTTCGGATCGTCATAGCATCAGCCATTGCACTCGCTTTGGGAGTGAACCATCGGACAGAAGATCTTCCTCTCTGTCTCTCCTCCTCTCTGTATATCCGCCTTTCCAATAAAAATAAAATAAATCTTTAAAAAAAGAAGTATGTGATCAGTAGAGTTTAGCAAATGATCTGTTTCTTAGTGGAGAAATAAAATATTTGGGGCAAGTGAGGTAGTCTAGTGGCTAACGTCCTCGCCTTGCATGTTCTGGGATCCCATATTGCTGCTGGCTTGTATCCCGGCAGCCTTGCTTCCCATTCAGCTCTCAGCTTGTGGACTGGGAAAGCAGTAAAGGACATTGTAAAGCCTTGTGACCCTGCATGCATGTGGGAGACTTGGAAGAAGCTCTTGGCTCCTGGTTTTGGAAGATCTTCTTGTCTCTCTTCCTCTTGGTGTGTCTGACTTTCCAATACATAAATAAATAAGAAATAAATTATTTTCAGAGAAACTTATTTGCTTTTCATACATGAAGGAATATGTTATTGTGGGTATCAGCTGCTGAGGAGATGCTGATTGTGGTGGGCCTCTTGAGGTCAGTAACAGAAGCTTTTCAGTTTCTACCATGTCACAGACTGTTACACTGCCTCATACCTTGCAGATGCTCTCCACCACTGTGCAATGAAAAAACAAAGTCATTCTCTCTTTCTAGAACTAAGAAGCCCAGCTCCTAAAATATAGAACAATAGCTACTTTTATCTACTATATGCATTTCTACAGCAACCTCAACTGAACTATTGAAAAATGACAGAGCCCTAGTATTTGTGGTACTTTGTCATCTCCAGGCCCTCAGAAATATCTTCCTGAATATTGTCTAGGTACTGTATGTGAGAATGGCTCATCAAAGTTTTGTCAATATTCGCAGATATTTAGATCCGTAGTCAAAAAATGATTTTAAAGAATCAGTGAGCTAATTGAAAGAAATTAAAGAGACATTCATTTAGTCATTTTGTTGCCAGTGTTCTAGAAAGCACATTACTAATCAGTGGAATTTTTCTGTACAAATAAGACTTGTGCATATAGATGATTTCAAACAGTTGTGTTTTATTCATTTACTCATTGTGTCATTTATTCAATTTCAATAATAGGAATAGTTACTTAGTCAGCTTATTACTTGCAAAACCCTGTGATAGTTTACAATTTTAACCTGAGAAGTCTTTGAAAATTCTATTATAGCTAAACTACTTCTGTATTTTTCTGTATGCCTAGTATAATGTCTATTTTATATTCTATTTCATTTTATTGGTATTAGAGAAAATGGTCATAGAAGGCACTAATAATAATAAATAAATAACCCCTGTTGCTTTACAGCTGCATAAAACTTCAACTGTTACTGGATGAGTGACCTGAGAGGCCTTCCAAACCAGTTCTTGCTTCTGTAGCAAAAGAAAATGGTAGCTTTGTAGAATTTATGTGAGATTCCAGGAGATAGTGTTTGCAGAGGTTTTATAAATAATTAGGGGCAATTCATATAGGGGAAGGGTTTCAGATGCATTTTTCATTCACCCAGATAAGTCTGTTTTATAGTTGAATATTATTATTCCCATAATAGGAGACTGTACCTTCCCAAATTAGCTATAATAATATTTTCCTGTCTCACATAGTCTTCCTAGGATGTGGAGGCCATTTTCTCATGACTGGAGACCTGGGTGGGCTGCAGGGAGGTGGGAACCTTTGTGAATACCTCCTTGAGGAGAATGTGATGGGTTCGGATGGCTTCTGATGATTATCTGTATATAAGTTTTTCACAAATTTGCGGAAAATGTGTTTATGTCAGGAAATGCGCACATGTTTAAAAATTTTCTTGTGCCAGTATCAACTTGCCTTTAAGCTCTACTTTTCCGCCACCTTTTTGAAGTACTATTGTAAGAAATACAATATGCATTTTTTTTTTTTTTCGGTCTTGGGAGCTTTGACCCAGCAAATGAGACAGTTGGCTATGGAGAGCCACATACTTGGTAGTTAGAGCGGAGGTGTCCCAGGACCAGGGCTGTTCTGCTCTACTCACCGCAGGCACTAACTAGGTAAACATGGATATATACAAGGTCTCAGATGAGTCCAGCCACTAACCTTCACGCTACCTCCATTGTTGCTGCGCAGATGAGAAATGAACTGTCCCTGCTGAACTGCCCAAATGTGGGTTCTCAGTAAAATATATGGTTGAATAAAGTAATGTTGATATTTAATAAAATAAACATTGTTGTGTTAACCCAAAAACAAAAATAGTAATGTAAAATCAAAGTTCTTAGGTATAATTGTGCACAATGGAGTAAAAACAAATCAGCCATGTAGGATAAAATGCACATTTTAAAGTGAACACATTTGGGCTTCTTTGTATATCTGTAGACTGCTGCTTTTTATTCATCTGCTTGATGGATTTCCATCAGAAATGCATCATGATATAGTGATTTTGAGCCAAAAGCTATTGCCAGTGTCATGTCTCAGCAGAGTCTGTTGTTAGCTGTGTAACTATTGACAATTTACAGAACCTCGCTAAGATTCAAACCTCTCAGCTGTGAAATGGGGATTACGGTAGTTCCTACCAAAAAAGAATCATAAGGATTGAGTAGTTTCATATACTTAACATTCATATAGGACTGCCTGAAGTACAGTAAATACTCTACTAGTAAAAATATTAGGTAATATTCTACGTATTGCTAATTGTGTAGTTTGTAGGAATAAAAATGCATCATATTGTAAAAGCTCTTAGATAAATACATCCAAGTTTCACTTATTACTAATTTTAAATATGTATAAGTATTTAAAATATGTGCATCTATGTTTCCTCATAGAGAAAATAAACATCTAAAAAAATCCTCTTTATGTCTAATTCCTAGACTGAAACAAGATTTGAATAAAGTAAACCACTTGAAATAGTTGTTACAATTCTTAGCCAATAGCCTTTAAAGAATGCTGGCTAAGCTCTACCTCAGACCAGAGATGGTCTCTCCAAGAAACCGTTGAATTTATCTGGACAATAAGATGCTGGACTCTATTCTTGGTGTATGTATGCAAAGAAAGAATCTTGACTTAAACTGTAATACTGCACCAAGTTGGAGGAATCCACCATGGGGGGAGGGCATGGAGAGGGGTTCCCAGAGCCTATGAAACTGTGTCACATAATGCAACATAATTAATTTTAAAAAATGTTGGCTATTATTTTTTTATTATTTCGTTACTATGGCACTCCACTATATGCAGTAATTTATAACATATTTTCTTACTTGTGTTTCTGTCTGACTTGGCACTAAGCACAAGGGATCTTTCTGTGTCTTTTTTTCTATATAGATTTCTAAGGGATCTCATGTAATATAGAAAATAAGATATATGTGTAAACTGTTGAAGTTGAGCACAAGGCATAAGCTATTTTTCATAAAGCTTCTTTTGTGTCAGGTTATAATGTTAATTATTATTGTATAGATTCCTTGAATTTGACAAACAGAAGCAAACTTTGGCAAATATATTAAAATAGAATTGTCATGACATCCTTATTTTTCATAGTGTTTTGAAATCTATCTTACTTGCCCCTTTAGGAAATTATCAGTCTCAGTATTCTTTTCCTGTATATCTTTAAGCTAAAGGTTAACTGATTTTAAAATGCATAATTTTAAAGGAAACGCTGTTTTTCAAACAAGTAAAAGTACATATAAATGGGTTCTTGAACATGCAGTTATTCTTATTTAATCATTGTATGTGTAGGGTTTTAAAAGCATTTGTTCAGCTCAACATAAGCTTATGTAGGGTTGCAGTCTTTTAGATCAGACTGACAAAAGATTAACAAGAGAAAAACAGAATTCGGTAGGAATGTGTATCCTGTATATGCATGGAAATACTCAAAAGATGGAATTAGAATCATAGTGTCTTAAGAAAAAGAACAATGGAGTTTTAGAAAAGGGAAAGGAATTATAGCTTGTAGGACAATGAATTGTAGGAAGGGAACTAGAAGGGTGTTCAAACATTTCAAAAATATTCAGATATTTTCCATCTCTCTGTGAGAAGATAAGGACTGACTAGTGAGATGAAAGCCAGTGTCTTAAGTTTGTGGAATTCCTGAGAGCTGTTGTTGTGCAGTGAGGATCTGGGGCTCTCCCCACTACTGAACGTCTACTTTTCCTGATATAGAGGAGAGAGGGAACACTTCTGTGCATTTGTATCCCAGATCTGGCAAATACAGTGCAGAGAGCGTTTCTTGTGTCTGCTTCTTCTAAATTACCTTTTGCTCAAAATGGTCTTTACGAGAACGTGGCATATTTTGTAGTGACATATTGTGCCTCCCTTCATGCAACATTGCATAAGAGAATTACACATCTCTGTTGATTTCATGTGTGCCATTTGAACACAAATTTATGTGTGTAGCACTTTTCTTAAACACTATAATAGCCATTAATTGCTTCGGTAATTAAAAATAATTGCCCAATTTCATTTTCTTAAATGCTTTGCGTAGTAACATTCCTTACTTGCTAAAGTATAATTTCAGAAACACTAAATAAGAAATTCATTTTCAGTGAGTTCTTTTGACTCCCTGCATTTTAAGTATAATGTGTAGTTGAATAAATTGTATATTTGTATAATTGTATTGTTGCTTAAGTATCATATATAATGAAAATACTAATTAGAGAATGATATACTAATATAGGAATTAAAATTGAGTTTATCAGGAAATAAATGAGTACCCATTTCATAATTTATGCATAAGACATACTAGTATTTCTGAGACAAATATGAAGAAAAAACGAAACTAGCCGCAAATTTTGTCATTGTACCAGTAGCATTGACCAACAGCTTGGGAAATAATTCTCCAAGTATGTTGCATTCTAACTTTTGCCTATTTGTTTTCTTCTCAGGAATCTTTCCTTGAAATTATCAAGAGATGTTGAGCAGGAAGCAAGGTGTTCCCATATCAACCGGACGCCCAGCAGTCCATCTGCAGACTGGCCCCTGCAGGGTGTGGAAGAGAATGGAGGCATAGATTCTCTGCCGTTCAGACTGATGCTACAGGACTGCACAGCTGTCAAGACGTTACTGTTAAAGATGAAGAGAGTGCTACAAGAGGTAATGATTTACCCTACAATTAACGGCTTTCGGTGCTGGTGGACAATGAAGTCTGTGTGCCTGATTAGGCCCCATTCTATAATTAGCTGTTATGAGATTGGATAGAGGTCAGATATCCTCTTGGACTATAGTGGTCCTCTGGATTAAATTACAAATTTGGAGTTCTGTTGAGGAAGTTTTGCTTAAGCTCTAGGATTTTGTAAAAGGATTAAGAAAAAATAAATGGATGCCAAACATCTTCTTATTTAACAGGTGAGGAGAAATAAACATCAGCTTCTAGATGATGGTTTCATGTTATTATGAAACTCTTGGGAGAGGTATTAAATGTACTTCATTTATTGCTACTTTGACCTGATATATGCATGACATGGTAAAAGTAACTCTCTTAATCACTTTTGTTCCAATAATCAGTAAATTTGAAGATATGAACGCTTTTACCTGATGAAACAGTTGATCTCCCACAGCTTTTGCAAAGAGTTAGTCATATTGACGTGCTAGCCAGGAAAGTGAATCATGGTATTCTTTTACATTCATGCTCAGAAATCAGCTGCACTAGAACACATGTACGTTATGAATTGATTTTCATAATTTCAAAATTTAGAGTTATTTTCTTTGAATAATTTATGTAAAAATATATGCACTATATTACTTTCTAGATCTAGATATGCCAAATGAGGGTCAGAAAATTTTGACAACTTTATTCTACTAGTGAATTTAAGAGAATAGCCTAACATTTGTGACTACTTATGCAGTAAGTTTTATTACATTCCATTATCTTTCAATACATTTATGTTAATAATGGGATGTTAATAAGTACTGTTTGAACAGAACGGTTACTGTTTAGAAGAAATAGCTTTATGGCTACCTTGCATTCACTGTTGCTAGTATTTTCTGTTTTAAAACAGTTTGATGATAATAGTAATACTGGAGACTAATACTTGCAACTGCCACTGGAGGCAACAGTTGAATTGGGGAGAAGGCAATGAAAAGGAAGTGACTGGCATCACTTTCTGGGGACTTTCAGTTATTCTCTTTAGTGATTTTGAGCAAAAGTTGAAAGAGATCTTCTTATGTCATAGCAGTGTGCATTACCAGGGTACTCTTTGTATCTAGAATCAGTGAAGTGGTATGATGAAGCAGTATGTTTATAGCCCTTACTCTTAGAATTTCTAAATTACATAAGCTGACAATTAAGTGAAAGCAGCAAAATGGATTATATAAATTTGGCATTCAACAAATTATCTTTTGAGGTTAACGTGTAGTTGAAACTCATTTTTTGATTTATGTTACCATTTCTTACAACCATGAGCTGCTTTATATCTATGAAATTTTGATGGTAAAAGTGCTATATGATAGCTACTGTCCATATTTTCTAGTTAGGGATTAATTAATGTGATTTTGCTAGCTTGAAATCAGCCTTATGAGAATATGTATGCAAAGTAAATCATAAAACACAACAAAGTAATGCTTTTTGTGGTTGACAAGGCTGTTCTTCAGTGTTTACTAGCACAGTACTACACTCAGATATAAGACTCTGTAGTTTCCATACAACTATAAAATTATTTTTTTGAATATGACTATGTAAGTTAGAATCTCCCCAGTTCTGGGGAGGGTGGCCTTTGAATAATGCAGACTTAACAATATTTATTTCTCAGAATATATTAAAGTATATAGTCTATTCAGATATCTACCCTTCTGATAGGGTTAATTGTCAAGGTGAATGTATTCCTATAACTCTGAAATCTCCCAAGACACCAGCAATCGGTCACGGGCAAAACCCTGATTTCTGAAACACCAGGAAGCAAATAGGAGATAGGAATGATCTTAGAGTTTTTAGAATCCTCAGGATGGACAGTTACCTTGACAATCAACCCTATCATTTCTTCCTTTCAATTAACCCTATCACCCTTTCTTTGATTTTCATTTTAATGACAAGTCAGTAGATGTAAAAGCAACTGAAGAACAAACAGGAAGTAGTAGGACAATTCTTGGTATTTTAATTGTACAGTTTTAAAATACTGATAAATATTCCATTGTAGTTAATATTCAGAATATACTGAAACCTCTTTTATACTTTTAAGTAATCTGTAATCAAGAAAAGCAAAAGTCTAAAGGTATTTGCTTTTTAAGCCTGGTGTAAAGCAGCCATGATTACCTGTGTTTGTGTAGCCTACGTAGGGAGCAGTGGGATCTTCATTGTCCATGAGGAAAAGCAAGAGTATAACATGGTTGCTGAGCAAGCTCTTCTGAAAATAAAATTTAAGGTGGTTTTCCATCAAAATGTTTTAAAACCCGGCAGTTTTTGAACTGCAATTTGTATTTCTTTGCTAAATTTGAGCATAATGCTAAGTATTCTTTTTTTATTAACAATATTTAATGTAGAAAAACATGCTTACTTGTCCATAAGCTTATATATAGTAACAAACTTTTGAATATAATTTTTAACTGTGAGAGATCTTTAATTTTAATTTGCCATTACTATCTAGGCTCTTCATTGAATTTTTTTCCCTTTTAGTGCTTTACTTTAATGCTACTTTTCACATGGGTGTATGTTCACATTTTTTACTCCCATACCACTGCAGTGACTGTGAGGTTTTATCAGGTTTTTAAGCACACCTAGTTCAAGTTACCTAGTTCTGGATAAAAACTGGCTAGCTAAATGGACATCTAGGTAGATTGTTATTTGATCGCCTTTCTGAAATTTCTAAAAACCCATTCAATGTTTAGAGCACGAAAAACAATTTCCTTAGAAAGCTCTGTGTGATGGTTGAAATACTTGACAATTCAATAATCTTATCCATATAGATTTTCACATAAAATAGATAAGTCTTATCATCTCTATGTTGCTTCTACTATGTAATCAATATAAGCATCAATGTTAAGATTGATTTCTAATCATTTAAATTTTAGCTTTGGGGTTTAGATTCTCCAGTAGATCTTGAAGATATCACATCTTTATAAGTTTTTTGACATTTTTTATTATTGGCTAACCTGCCTTCATTCTGTTACAATATCAAGCCTCTTAAGTCATTCCAGCTTTTCTTCTTTTTACATAATTTATCATTAACTGTCATTGCATGAGTTACTGTTGCCAAAATGAATTACTTAAGGTTTAACAAAGACATTATTTCATCAAGTAATTCATTCTGACAACTTATTACTTATTTTGTACTGCCATGTAACAACATGTGTAATACTAAATAATAAATACTGTTGCAGCTGTGGGAGTCATATTTATTAAGGGAATCTATAATGCAGACTTTTATGAAACGTGCTTTTGAAAGTGAGTTTGAAAGGGAATGTAACAGGATGCGTGTAACTCAGTCACTGGTGGTGGGAGCCAGATACAGAGGTGAGGTATGACTTAACACTGCTCTAGAAATTCCGCTGCTGTTAGCCCGAAGTTTGGCTTAGACTGTGAGTCTTGAAGGCATTCCCAGAGTCTGTTTCTAGCACCCAGGAAGAAAGCCTGGCTTTGGATATTTTGTCATTCACCATTTTCACTGAGCATTCCTGGAATCTTCCCCTACTAGGGCACTCTTACCTTTAAACACTCTTGGAATCTCCTTGTGTCCTTCAACTGCTTATGTATTAGCGATGGCCAAGTTTACCTCAATTGTTATCTGATTATCCTGCCCTGAGGCTTCCCTAGCACAAACCCTGCGTCCTCATTGCAATCCTAGGAAAATGAGTAAGTGATCAGATAACTCTCCTGTTAAATTTTTGAATATATTCTAATCATCCTTAAAAGGTATGAGATCTCAGGATAGTTTACATTTTCTCTGACATTGGCTCATTTAGCCTTCTTCCTGTTTGTTAATTCTTCCTTCTGACATACACAAAATGTGATCTTGTGGTCTTTTCCCAAATGTCTGCACAACTTGGAATATATTTACTGTTTAATAAGGGATTGTTTACAGACAAGTGAAAGAAATAATATAATCCATTCAGTTTATGGCTTGCTATTGAAGAAATTGTTAATAGAATAAAAGTTATAAACTCGAGGGCCTAATGGAAGAAAGAAGAAAATGACTGTGGAGAAAATTTCCCTAAACTCAAAGAATATATAATATGCTTTTACAGAACATAAAGAAGAGTCTTGCTACAAAGGTTATTATATGGAATTTAAATAAACACTGTGTATTTTGAAGACTAAGTGATTACGATAATTTCATAAGTCTTTTTGGAATTTTTCATGGAATAACATTTGGTTATGCTGTTCATTAGATATACTGTAAAAATTGTCTTAAAATATTTGACATTAGCAGAAAATGTTAGTCTTTGTGATTGTTTTTTAATTCCCATTTGTACTCATTCTTAACAAGATAATGAAATCTTTAAAAACCATCATTGTGATTTCAGTAGAAAATAATAAATGTAAGACCTTATAAAAACACAAATTGGAACATCTAATAGCTGTTTAAATAGACAGCTATCAGTAGTTGACACCAGCTATGGAATTAAGCCCACATAGAGCGCCTGTTTGAGTTCTGACTACTGTAATTCTATCAGCTTCCCATTGATGTGCCTGGATAAATGGTGGACTATGACCCATGTTGTTGAGCCCATTTCCCCCAGTGAGGAGATGGGGTAGAGATTTGGCTTCTATAGTCAGCTTAGTTCAGACCTGGGTTTGGCCCTTTGTGGAGTGAACCAGTGAATGGAAAAAACAATCATTCAGTTTTCATCTTTCTGTTTCTCACTCTCTTGGTCTAGCTTTCAAAAACAGAAAAAATAAATATATGTATATGTATATATATGCATATTATGTATATGTTATATAAGTTTTATATGTTATAAAAAAGTTGGTATAAAAACATTTATTACTGCTCACTTGTTAGGCTGAGTATACTGTTTTCATTGTGGCAAGCTAAGTGTGAGCCCTTGCGATGGAATTATCATAGTTCTAATTGGTTACCCTTCTTTTAAAATAAAATTTTATTATTCAAATGCACATGCATATTTCCAGTAATCCCAAACATGAAGCCCTTTATTTCTTG